AAGAAGTTAAAATATAGAAGAGTTTACATTGTGTCACTAGAGCCTTACAGTAATTTGCTCCCCCAGGTGAATGTGCTTTGAGCCCTCGTTATGTGGTGTGATACAGCAGTGGCACATGTCTCAGCTGCTATGTTTTTGTAACAGTTTCATAAGGCTGTACTAATGAATTAACATTTTGTTTACAAGTATTTGCCACTGTGACAGATACTCCTAGAACCTTGAGAAGAAAGAGACGCTTGCCACCTATTCTTAGCTAAATCCCATAAGGAAACAAAGAACAAATTGTCAAGAAAACATTATGGATTTAATAGAAATACATACTGTAACACGAGTAAAAGTGAGGCAAGATAGTAGCAGTGACTATAGCTAGGTGTCAGTTACAGCATATCCAAGTGCAACAACTGGATGGAGTATCACACTCACACAGATGAAGAGCATGACAGAGTGGTCTGTATCCTTCAACATTTGAAAAAGAAGTAGCAGTCGATTTGTTCAATGATCCATATGTGGAAACATTAATAGAAACAATGCAAAGGAAAACCCAACCTTCTTAAAAGAAGAGTATCTTTACAAAGGTAATTATCTCCTTGAATAAAATTTGTTGTTAGTGTTTATACGTAAAAATTGAAGAACTTCAACTTGCAGGATAATACAATGGGAAAAGCAAAATTGTTTCTTCTACGAAGTCTTTATTCTCTCTAGAATGAGAGCAGTTTCAGCAAATGCTGTCCCAATTTTCAGGGGGACAAACCATCCTACCGCCTTGATTTTCCATGCAAAATAGGAAGCACCAAATAACTCTAAGCCACTAGAACTTTTCTAAGTATTTCTCAATAGCGGTTTATAGCACGCACACTCTGACAACACTATGTTAAAAATTCAGGGTTGGGTGGCGTGGGGCGAAATGGGAGGGGGAAGGAGGAAAAAGCTGACCCTAGGATCATTTTGACTTGTCAGAGACTAAGCCCATCAGTACTCTTCGGTTTCAGGAGTGTCTCATAACCCTTGAAAGATTTGTTATCTGTGGCTTTGTGGATAAAGTTTGGTAATGCTTGTTTAGTTTTTCCAAGTTACACATTTTTGATTCTAGCTGACCAAGAGAGGGTTTGCGTTCAAACTGCTGAGACCCCTCAAATATCAGAAGGGATTTTTCAGAAACAAACATTGGTGTCAGAAGGCCTAATAATTTCAGAGAAATACGTTTTGGCACCTGAATTCTTGTATGAGAAACAAAGACGTGGTTTCAAGCATATTTCTTTTGACAAGCTGGAGCCATATGAATCTGAAAAGGACAGCTGACATGCCTTTTCTTATACTAGAACCTGTACTTCTATCTTAGATTGGTAATTCACAACATCTTATTTCTACAAGTCTTCTGTCACCTACCATTACTAGAGCTGTGATCTATTCCGAGAATGTGATCTGAACGTAAAATTTTAACAGGTTTTAGAGAAATCTGTGCGGATTTTTTAAGAGTTTAATTCCAAGCACACCATTCTCCTGCTTCAAGTGACTGACTTCTGGCATACAGTCTCAGGTCACCTATAAAATGACTTCCTGCTAAAAGAAGTTAAGAAAGTTTGTCCTGCTCTCTTGTCCATGAATGGAAAAGCCTCTTTTTTTAGAGGTTTAAAGTGTTTAAGAGAGATACATGAAGCTTCTTATAAAATGAATAGGCAGTGTAGAAGTTTAAGTCAGTGAATTATTCAGGTTCTCCTCATGTCTGAGACTATTTTTTCTACTTCTACGTAGCTATTGGTGCTCATAGTGAGGCTTGCTACAGGGTGACTAGCTACACAGTTCAGACAGCTTCTGTCCTGTAGATCATCAATTCCCAAGATAGTCTTTGCAGACTGCTGACATAGCACACCACAAATAGACTACACCATGCTTAATAAACACTAAAGACTGTTTCACAAGAAAGTCATTCAAACATCACTGCTAAAGCTTCCTTTTTGAACTAATACTCGATATGTTATTCTGGAAGTTAACACCAACGTTAACAAATAATTTAGGATTAACATTGTAACAAAAATCTTGCTGAGGCCAACTTTTAAACGAGTCATGATTTTCAGCCTGAATTATTTTTTGATAATTAAAATGAAGCTTTAACCATGAATGTAGACAGTTCCCAACAAATCCCACATCTCTCAACCAGGTTAAAGGATTAGACCTCCAAACAAGTAAGTAGGCATTGTCTCTTCTCCTCTCACTCTCTCCCCAAGCATGTAAATAATCTTTCTCAGGCAGGCTGGTAGCATTAAATTGCTATTATGTACTCCAACACATCAAAGACTCAAGTCTGCATAAAACACCCCTCTAAACTATTAACTGTCTGATCCTGTAGCACTTAAAGGGTCTTCACAGACGTCAGTGGGATTTGAAGTGCAATGATTTGGTTTGTTTCAACATGGATCTAGTAACATAAACAAAGCCTTTACCTTCTTGGCAACAGCAAAAGTTGTTAGAATTGTTTCAGAACTTTTCAAAGCACCTGTTAACAATATTCAGTAGTTTGACCACTAGATGCTTCTGTTATTAAACATAAGGTTCCAGATTTCACCTACTTAAGGCATTTAGCATGCCAGTTTTCAGCATGTATATACAATACACTACAAAACTACCTACAGCACAGATCAAGAGCCTGGCAAGTCAGTTAAGTTGTAATTTAGAGGGTCGGACGAAGACAACCTCCAAAATTTGGGAGCACATTTAAGTTCCTCCAAAGCTTAAGAATTAAACATTTATCAAATTATATTTTTGTAGAAACCTCTAACTTCTGTGGGAAATAATTGGTGTTGTTTAAGAGTTGAAATAGTCATATTTTGTCAGTTAAAAAATGCTCTGGATCAATGATACGATGTGCACCTTGTTACATTTTTACATTCATGACGCTTTACCCTTCCAAACTTGTTTTGCAGCAATTCTCTTTGACAGTATCTGAAAGTCTAGTCTCTATGATGAGCTCCATTCATTAAACAGAAGGCATAGTGGAATAAAACTTTAGCCATGAGCTTTTTCAACAACTTCTTAACAGAAAAAAAAAGTGATTAAAAATTTAGCTGGAATGGTTGATAATAAGCACTCCAAACACTCAAAGGCTAATGGATCTCCAAATAGAGAAGCTATGTCAGAACAAAATATAATCAATTTCAGCAAGCCTAGCGCAAGATGAAAGCAGATGGCCTAACAAATTATTAATACAGAGAAACCATTTTTCTCCAACAAAAATGAAACAATGAACATGTGCATCTCATCCAGGGAAGACTGCATTCCAGCTTTCAGCTAGGGCCAACTGATCAATAAACAGTTATCTTGGCTCAAAAGAACTTCCATCAACAGTCTGTCATTTTAAATAGGCATGTGTTAAACAGCAGCCTCACTTCAGTGTTTGTAGTTTGGACCATCTGAAACACTGGCTATTTCCATGTTTTCATTAACTGCAGTAATTCAAGATCAGAACTGCAAAAAGGATATGAAATATGCCATATTCCAGTCAGATTGGTAACAAAACAAAAGAAGCCCGAGGCATTAAGACTTAGCTACATTTGAGAAGGGCCAGATTGTGGCTGCTGCTTTGGTGCTTTGGGGTGTGGGGTTTTATTTGTTGGTTTGTTTTTAAAGTCTAGTTTTGGTGTCTAGGAAATAAGTGAGGATAGATCAGAAAGGAGTTCATAAAGATTTGCTAAGACATATGGATCTCTCCCCTCACTGGAGAGAACTACAATAATCTCAATACTACCCCAGCTCTCAGTCTTGCCTAGAATCCAGTATTTTCTTCTCAAGTCAATGTATCTTGGATAAATACTATTAAACCATTTTTATTATATCACTGAAAACCAGATTTAAACTCCATTTTTACCACATGCTAACAAATAACAGCAACAATTTAGAAAGTCTGAAATTCCTTTTTCAACTAATCTACATGAAAGATGTTCCCAATATCTGAGACTTTCCTTTTCCTACCATCTTTCCAAGCTCAAGAATTTCCAGATTTATTACCAACTTTAATAAAAGCAGTATTTTCTGTTCCACAGTTAAGATACCAAAGCACCTGCTACCTTGGTACAGAACAGACTTCTGAAGCACCGTGAACACAAAATGTTTTAAACCTCCAGCTGAATTAGATAACCACATAATTTATTTTTTAAAAAATTGCTGGAAGTAAGAATTGAGATATTTCAAAAGAAATTAGGAATTTCCATGACTGCCACTGTGAAAGTTCTACATTTAATTGCTAACCTGCTTTTTTGTAATTAAAAATATGCCCAAGAGCAAGCTTATTCTGTTTGTTATTTACTAATTATATTTCCATCAAGCATTTTGCAGTACTGAAGTTTTTCCGTTCGTAATTTACTTGCTTTGAGTGGCATAAAAATGTATCGTACATCAGGCTGAACAAACGAATCCTTTGGTCTTTGCTAAGAACCAACGCTTCAAAGGGGCCTCAAACAGCCTTTGTTGGATGAAATATACTTCTTGGGCTCTCTGTAAGCATGTAGCCTGTACAGCTGTGGCAAAGAAGGCATAATTGACAATGCACTGTAAGTAAAAGGTGTGAAAAAATGTAGATACCAAATTGCATTAAAAACTTACTGACACATCCAAAATCTCACTGTAATAGTTCACCTGTTTTACTCCAGAATAGCTCTACAAGAATTTTCACCAATACAAACTAATCTGAAGTACAAGTCCTTTTATTTCCTACAAATTTTTCCCTGTTTCCTTCAAATACTTGAGATGATAGAAAGCCAGATTACAAACAAAGAATAAGCATCATCAACATGACCTCATTTTGATACTAAAGCCAAACAGCGTATTTTAGTATACGCTCAAGCCTATTAAGCTCTTTTTCTTCAGAAGTATAACGTTTCTCACTAGTGCTAGTAGGAAACAAAAAGTAAAAATAAATAAAATAGCACAAATGGGTATAAGTCAACCTATAGTTTAATTGAAAGCACACTAAAACTAATACAGAATAAGCTAAACACTGATTTGCTAAAAACCCTCACAGATGAAAAAGCCCAGGAACCAAGAGGTAACGATCTACATTACCACATCTTAAGGTAACTTCCTATTTGTATTTTTGTGCCCAAAACAGGAAAGACTGGGTGCACCACAGATGAAAACTTGTTCAACAGACAGACCTCATGCTGCACCAACAGCGTTCCCTATTGGCCCTTTCAGAAGTGATTGAAAGAGAAAGAATTTCAGTCTGCCTCTGGATGAACTCACAGTGACAATAGCTACAATGCAGGAAAAGAAACCTGATCGAGATTCCCCAGGAGTTTATCCATAGGTGTGGAATGGAATGAGTGTATAACATTGCGTTATTTTCTACTGGTTTTACATAATTTATAATACTTTAAACACTGGTCTCATAAATACAGTATGAACACTTTACACATGCCAAGCAATTAAAAGCTTTCTCCCAAAACTCTTACGTCTTACCAGAACCACTGGCAGCATCTGTTTACAGCATCTGGTTTTAGTCAGTAACCACTTAATTTAGTCAGAACAGTTTTCTTCAACCAACATCTTCGTATTAAAAAACTTGTAGGAACAAAAAGATGTGTATAAGTGTATCAGTTTGCCTTAAAGTGATTAAAGTCAGCATGAAAAGAAGATTGTCTGTGGTTTAAGATCCGCTGCTTGTGTCCCCAGCCCCGGCGCATATCATCTTTAAATAAAAAGTGCAAATGGGATTTGGGGACTGGATGGATTGATTTGCTTATTACTTGTCTTCAGTTGCTTATTCTGTAGCCACCTCACATCAACTGTCCCATCATACTTTGGATTAGCTACAATTAAATTTAAAATAAGGCTCACTGAAGAAAAGGAAGAAATGACATCTAACTTCCAGTCTCCTCTCACCCCTAAGTCCCGCAAAAGTGCTCATTTCCCTTTTTTTACAAAAAAACCCCTAAAATCTTGATTACAAAACTATTAAACATTTCAGTTCTACCATCCATATAGTCACCTTCCTTTCAAGCAAGGCCAAAAAAGTGATGATGGATTCCCTTTGAATGCAAGAGATACTACACTTTTTGTAAGTAAACAGGCTGACATTATGATTGCAGTCTTTTCTGCGAGTGTACAGATGTCAGATGAACTGGTCCATTTTTGTGGGACCTCGGGTGTATGAACACCAGCAGATAAAGATCTAAGACTGATAATATAAACCCAATGTGAACTATTAACTTCCAAGACCACCTACTGTATAAACAAGTCTGATTTTCTAAGGGATCAGTCAACAGCAGCTGCGCTTTGTCACTGATGGCTGTCTTCTAAGTTTGAAGCCCTTACCACTAGACGGAGGGTTGGTGTCAGTTGATGGAATTCTGCGACCTACAAGAAGGCAGAAAAAAAAAGTTAGAACAAACATTATACTTGAAACTAATTGTAAGCATTCAGTGTATGCTTTACACACACAAAAATGTCTTCAGTCAGTATATGTCATTAGTGATGACATTCCTGCATAACAGAAGGATGGCAGTTAACAGTCTACACTGTAGGAGGTATGGTTCCACAGCAGAAGAGCGGAGCCAGTTTTCAGCTAATTTTGTAGCTTTTACACTGCAGGCTAATCTAGACTTGGAGAGGTAAGCTATAAAAGCACCCAGAGAATATACTCTGCAGGATGCAGTATCATCTGGAATATCTGCAGTGAGAACTACCATCTTGACCTGTATTTCCACAGTAGATCGCCTGCATCAGGCTTAGCACAGAAATGCTTGTAAAGATAGCTGCTTTACTCAACCAGGAACAGTCAACTCTAAAGACTGAGTAGATGACTATTCTTTTCTGAGGAGGATTTATGATTTGTTTTTCCATAGTTTATTCAAGATTAATTTTAGAGAGCAACTACTAAGTCAGTAAATAAGCAAGCTAAGCTACAGCACATTTTACATCAGCTTCAACATATTAAACTCCTTATAAGGACCCTGTCTATTTTCCTCAGTCTAACGTTTCTGTAGTTATTCAAAGCTGAACTGCTGTGCACACACACACAATGGATTGCTGTTTGTCTTCTTTTCACAAACAGGCTGACATACATGCACATTGGTGCTGCTGCCTGAAACATACGCTGCAAGTAACACTGCATGGAATTCACTTTGGAAGACTGTCTGCTTTTCATTCACACAAACCCCATTGTCATTGTTACCTCCACCATGAATGAAACAAAAAATATTTGCAATTTAATTAAAAAAATCCCAAAGTATCACAAAAATACTTGTTGAAAATCTACACACAATAGTTGCTATTTCTCATGCACTAATCTGGCACTTAGGAATTCTCGTATTTTTGAAAATGCACTGGTTTAGACTAAGTACAAACACTAAGAATGAAAACTTAATTCCTTTTCTCAGCTGTATACAGTTTGGATCTTCCTCATGCCATTTCCTTTCCCTTCCAGAACCTTGGATGTACTAATTGAAACATTCGTTAACGGATACAGTAAGGTATCACTGACTTCTGACACAGATGCCCTGCTTGCTATTTATCCAGCAGCATCACAGTAGGCTTAAAATCTCTAGAAGGAATATTTAGAGGTCGTTAGATGACCAAATATTTATACAGCTCATTTTGCAGTTTGTATTCATGTCTGACTGTAACAAACTCAAGTCAGTATACTCTCACCTAAATAGCAGAAAAATACATTAATCAAATTTCTACTTGAACTTCTTTCAGAAGAAAGTACATTAACTGTTTAAATACTTACTAATTTCTATAAAGAGTTCATTAATGTTTATTGCATTTTTCGCACTTGTCTCTACAAATATTGCATGAATGGAATCTGCATAGTCTTTAGCATCTTTTTCCATGACTTCTCTGGAAAAACAAAGCAAAGAAAAAAAACTTGTGAATGCAAACCCCCCCATTATTCAAAATCTTAAGGGATAGATTAAGCTTTTAAGATTCTCATTAAATGAGTATTTCGTATTTTACCTGTTTGGCATCACAGTGCTCCCTTGCCCTGAAGCTGAGGCTCATTCTTTACTCTATGCTGTCTCCCTGCCTTGAGGTACGAGCATCACTGAAGCACAGTCATAAACTAAACAAGGCCTTAATCCATCTGACAACATTACAGTGGAGTTTCTTAAGTGCTCAAAATGTAGGTCTGCAATCAATCATTAGGGAGTACTTTATTCTTCACACACACAACAGTTTTAGATGTACTGAAAAGATCCTAAAGCATTAGTTCCAGTAATCCAGTGGACTTCCTACAGGTGTTTACAAAACCAAGCATCTCAACACTGCACAGATCACTAGTATAGCATTTACTTTACGTGAAGCATGAAGACGTAGCTATAAACAGGAACACATTTAGAGTGAGCTAATAACAACAGAGACAAGAAGTGAAAAAGTTTTTCTGCACCTCTAAGTAGGCAAGTTGATAATGAAGTGTTTCCTTAAAGAAACCAAACCCCAATAGGTGGAGAGAGGACTGGACTATATGTTGTATCACTTCACATACGATTTCTAGAAAACATAGGCTACTTTCAGCAACGAGGGACTTAGGATATCAAAACCACAGACTTTGGATCAGTGACTCAAATACTGCCTCTAACTGAAGTACAAGGAATCTTGCTCATTAGTTTGAACAGCAATGTTTACACGATTTATGATGCCACCTAAGCACCAAGAAATAAGTGTGTGAGACTTAACATCACATGCCTTGTATTTGTCTTCCAAGTAATTTTATGCCGTGTTTCCTTTAAGAGACACGCTACTTCTAGCAACAGTTACTGGAGATCACTAGATAACTGCTATATATTACCAATTTGTAAAACTATACTGAGAACCAACTTTGCAGAGGTTCTTTAAACACACATGACCATCTGCCTCCTTCGGGACACCAGCTGTGGTACCTTTTCCAATGAAATCTAAACCCAAGAAGTTTGCACACACCTCCTTTCTGAATTTTGGCTTATTTAAACAGGACATCAATAAAAAGGGGCTTCTTTTGTTTTTAGTACATGCCTTCTTGATAGTTTAGCTGTTCATAAAGTTTCTCAAGAACTTTTCCCACTCCCTGCAACTATTTCAGCCACAGCCAATTCCACCCCGGTATTTAAGGAGGGAAGAAAGGCACCTGAGCAAGCAAGTCGGAAAAACCTACACAATGCTTTCCAACAGGCTTGATGTTTTTCCTAACAAAATGAGGTGCTACAGACTGACAGGGGTACTTCTTATAAAGTGAGGTAAACAGCTTGTATTACACTGTAGTTTCACAGGCAGTTTAGGCTTGTGTAACTTGGCACTGCCACCAGAAAAGGTAATCCTGTCTCCCTGTAAACCGCTCATTCCTAACCCTGCTACCCCACCTCTGTTATGCCAGCTAGTCTCATGGTGTGAGAAAGATAAATACACTTGCATGAGTTTTCCTTTTTCTAAATGGTTAATTTTAATCTGGATCCATTTACTGCCCAATCACACACATATGCACACCAACACAAGGGAGGAATTGGGCAAGGCTGTCCAAGAGCAGACTAACCAAATCTTCTGACAGAAGAAACAGCTCAAACCCCTTGTGAAACTATAATGCTAGTGCAAAGCAGCTTAAATTGCTCTATACCTTTCACCTGCTCTGAAATCTTAAAATATTTAGCACTATGAGCTTAAGTGAAAACCTGCAAACTGTCAACGGTTATTTACCTTACGTCATTAAGATCACACTTATTTCCTGCAATAGCTACAACAATGTTTGGAGGTCCGTGCTGTCGAAGCTCTTTAACCCAGTTCTTTAATGTTGAGAAAGTTTCCTGATGTGGAAGGAAAAAAAAAGAAACAACAACAAGAAGAGAAGGAATTCAGTTAGAACTGGCCCATGACACAAAAAACCCCCAAAAGTTATAATGCTGGGTCAAGATCAAATTTCTTACCTCTTTTGTGATGTCATACACTATAATGGCTGCTGCTGACCCTCTGTAATACATTGGGGCTAAAGCACGAAACTGAAAGAAAAACACCGTTCGTTACGAATCTGATTTTTCACTGACCTTCATCATTTCCTTACTATTACTGAAGAAAGTGAAACTAGCTTTGAAGTTCACATTACTGGAAAACTTCTCTTTACAATTACAGAGAGGCTGTGCAGTAGAGTACATAAACTTCCACGAAAGTATTGTTTCACAAAGGCCAACCAATAAATAGTTCAGGGATCAGCAGCACCTACTGAAAAAGCATGAAGCCAAAGCTGACCTTATTTTGACTTGATTAGAATCTCTCATTTAAAAGACTGTAGATTATACACAGACACAAACCCACAGGATATATGCTCACCTTTAAACACTGAGCAAGGGGGAAACAGTCAAAATTGAACTCACTTCTTCCTCTAAGACACTCACACTTTTGGACAAAAAGTAATTTCAAGAAAACTAGCACATATTACCACTGATCGGAAATGTTCAGAAGTTGGCGTCTACCTCTGCCCCACGGATCAGTCACAGCACTCTTAAATACTGTAATGTTGGTTTCTTCATAATCTAACTCACAGCATCAGGGATTTCACTTAAGTTTTTCCTCAAAAGTTAGAGCCACACTTAAAACTAAAACCTGCAAAAGCCACAACTATGTGACCTCTCGCAAACAGGGCTTTAAGGGACACGCTAGACAGTAAATGGCTACAGTAATTTTATTGTCATTTCCAGAATTAAATCTACAGCAGGCATATTTGGTTGGTAGTACTTTTGCAGGGTATAAACCAGGCCTGTACTTCTCCATGGGCAGAGTGTTAGGAATCCAGGACTGAAAAACGTGATAGAGCACACAATTAACTTGCATCAAAAATATCAAGCATTCTTAAAAACAGTGTGCAGTTCCGCCAATTCAAAAAGAACCACGCAACTAATCTAACAACCAAAACACTCAGTCAAAGCACAGAGCAAACTGCATGTACTGCTTTGATGTAAGCATGTGTGATTTATAGCTTTTGTGCATCTTATTACTCTGGGTGAACATCATGAACAGAATACAGCTTTTCACAAAGGCTTATTTGGTTCTAATAAAATATCAATTTCCTATAGCTTAGTACAGTTCAACTGAGAGCAGTATTATAAATCATAAAAATCTTGCTATAAAGCAGAATTCCAGACCATTTACATTTGGCTCTCAAATTCTATTTTGAAAACAGGATTTTGAACACAAAGTTCAGAATATAAAAATATTTAATAGTGGGGAAAGGGAAACATGGGCAGACATTCAGTTCATTTTGGGACATAATCCCTCTCTTCCTCCTAAATACTAAAATGTAAAGGGAAACATATTTGGTAAACCACCACTTGGACTGGTTGCAACCTGGCTTTTTGATTATTTGACTATTTACACTGGGAATAAACCAATTTTCACTTGATGATTTTGTATTACTCTCATTTCCTCCCTGCTAACACTTAGACACTTTTTTCCACCTAAGAGTAGTCGGCAGATAAAATACATTAACAAAACAGATGTTACCAGAAACACTGAATTTTCCTTTTGCTATTTTTCCAAAGACTTCAGCTTGCCCTCCAGCCTCCAGTTTTGACGTTACTATTAAGATGGTACAACATACTTATCCAGAGAAACTGTCAACATTGTTAGGTAAGAAGGCAAAAATCCTAACTGCTGTAAGTAATCCCCTACCAACTTTACTCAGTGTAGAAGAAATGAGAGAAGAAATAAGGCCTATGTGTAGGGAGGAAAGCTGTGTGAAGTGAATTAGTGCACGTTTCCACCTCTGGAGTGAAGCTAGCCAGCCACTCCCTGAAGCCATTTAGAACACGGGGTTGCCCAGTGTAGCGTAGAGCTATTTGCTGCAGGGCTTTTGAAGTGGAAGATAGTAAATGCTCCTCAAGAACCCAGGACCATGAATTCTGCACATTACACATCATAGCTCAGCAGAGATGTTTTAGTTCCAACAATAGCATGGATATTTGTGGTATTCCAGATTGCCATGGGGGAGATCCTTTCCCTAATTCATTGTCAGACGTGTTGCACCACCAGAAAACTGTGCTACAGGTTTCAGGGCAAGGTAGGTATATAGACCATTTTTGACTAGCAGTAAGTGACAGTGCTGTTCTGTTTTGGAGAAAGAAACATCTAGGAAGATACTAGCATCATTTCCAAGTAAATATCCTTGCTCCCATTTCAGTGGTCTCCTTGGGTGTGTTGAGGCCTCACAGTGACTTCTCTCAGGTGTGGAACATAAGCTTCACAGATATCACAGCTCTTGGCTCAGAGCCCAGGTAAGACATCTTTCCCTTTTTTATTTCAATAAAGATACCATGCAACTTACATGGAAGAAAATTAAAGAGGTATAACTCAGTCTAAAACCAGAAAGACAAGGACCATGCTAGTCATGTACAGAGATGCTTCTTCAAATTGTAGTGTGCTGAATCCAAATTACAGCGTTCTCCCATTGCTTGTAAACACAGTTCATGTGAATAGGATGGAATGCTAATATGTAATGGATGTTTCCTGCCAAGTTGTGGCAGGCATGTTTATAAAGCTTTCCATTTAAGAATACCAGCCTCTCAAAATTCATACTCTACCCCCCACAGAAGACTCGCATTCCAGCATTAACATTTCAGCATGGGCTAGGATGTTCACTTAAGACAAACTATTTACAGCAAATGCTGACTGCTAGTAATGGAAGGAATCTGATATTTCTGATAACATGAATACTATTGGACATATCCCTAGGACACATCCCCGACAACATAAGTTTGCTTTATATGGTGCTGCTGGAAGGAAATAAATTGTCATTCAAAATCTAGAGCATTGAAATGCAATACAAAGATAGTTGAGTTGCTTTCTAGCCATCAAGTCTGTTACCAAGCTAAAAAGCTAACCACCAGGACTCCAAAAGGTTAAGTGACTCTGGACACGGATCCCTGAGCCTTTACAAGGTTTGGTGGTTGTTTTGGTTTTGGGTTTTGTTTGTTTTGCTTTTTTCATTTTGGTGGCGATGCTGTGGCATGTGTGTTCTGTTTGTTTGTTTTTGCTTGGGCTCTCTGTTTCTTGAGCCAATCTTGAAAAATAGTACAGCTACATTTAGCCAGTTGTTATCGTAAAGCAGTAACCCAGCCTGATCTAACTGACTCTTACTGGGGACAGCCCCAGTGTCCACCTTTGTTACAATTAGCTCACATCCTAAATAAACTCATGAGTAATTGTCAGTTGCCAGCCGTTAACAGTCAAGAAACTGCAAGAATAAGCACTGTTAATACAGCTACTGTAATTTCTACCACTGTTACTAGTACTCCATAAACAAGCAAGTTAACTAGCTAAGTCTTCCTTTTAAATTCCAAGTAAAAATCATGCGAATTAACTAAACACGATTTCATTTGACTAGCCATTTTCTTGAAGGCTTTTGCTGCCTCCCCTCAGAACTATGCACGCTGCAGAGATCGACAATCCAAACCACCAAATGAAAATTTAAATTTCAAAGTAGATTTCTCAACATAGCTTCTAACACTTAACAGATTTGAGAAGCAAAACTTTACAAAATAATAAAAGATCCATTATCACCCATAACATGGCCTGAAACACTGCTTTTGAAAGCCTAACCTCACATCTCACGTTAATAACCCTAACACTGAAGCCAACAGAATGTGTTAGCAGTTGTTTGTTTTTCCAGAATCGGGGCCTTACTTGTACTACGAAACATGATCATCTATTTCACTTTGATTCTCATGTTGCCCGTTGCACTGGCTGCAAATACTGCAGTTGAACCTTTAAAACTCCACTAGAAACAGTACTAGAGACAGCTGCTGGCTTCTCCCCAACACTCCCCAGCCTTGTTTTCTTTTGAAACGGCACTGCCTTTCAGTGAATCTAAATCCAGTCTTTTGTTTTATAAGTTACTCTTCTTAGGCAATCATCCTTTACTTTGTATTCTAACCACGGTAACAATGAAAAATAAAAACATTTACAGCACCCATATCTTGACAGAAACCTGCAGAGAAACAAATGTTGTAATACATGTTCATAAAACCAGATCACGCTGTGACTTTCAGGGACAGGGCTGAAAAGCAACCCAAACTCTAGCCAGAACTATCACCACAGATATTGATTCTACTTACCCGCTCCTGTCCAGCTGTATCCCAAATTAGGAATTTATGCAGCTCATTTTGATACTGTACAGTCTTGGTCATAAATGAGGCTCTGGAAAAAAAGTTGCAGCTAATGCTTTTCAGAAGATAGATACATTCTTAAAACATTACCACCATGAACTTTTTAAAAGGTTTACATTCCAATAAAAGTGCTTTCCCCCCCCAAACTCCTGAAGATTTTATACATAAAGGCTGAAATTAATGAGGCAAAGGGCCTCAGAGGATGAAATTACACTAACAAAACAGAAGGAACATAATGAAAATTATAAACTTTTATTGTTCGTAAGCTTTTGATAAAAATAAAGGATGTATGTCCAAAAACTCAGAAAGGTCAGCCTTTTTAACAACGTTCTTCCTAAATAGAGGCATCCTCACATCAAATCACCCAGGTGTAAACCAGAAACTTCCAGAGGGAGAGATCAAATCCTTCCCCTTTGGATCAGCTTTATCTCTGTACTAACATTCAGATAAATGCTGCTAAGTCCATACTCAGGAATAAAATACAGCAGATTCGTATCACTGTTAGTAGGTGTTAAGAGGACAGAGAAATCAGTAACAAGTACCTTTCTTGTTGTCTGCACTCTGTACAGCTCAAATCCTGTCTGTCACTATATACTTCAGTCTGCAAAGGCTCTTGCACTTTCAGAATCCAAACAAAAAAATCTCTTCCTATGCTCCAGCTGCCCCGCCACCTCAACTTCTAGGTGTTTTATGGTAAAATATTGCAAGATATTGTCAAGTACTTCTGTGCTTTACACAAATCAATGTGTTTCCCACAAGAACAGGAATTCAGAGACTAATCTTTTACAAGAGGGCGTCCTTTGCTATACCTATTACCTGTAGGTACATTTTTTACTAGAAAAACCACACACTGAATTCAAACCCCTGTAGAATAGGAACTATAGATGCTGTAATTATTTTAAGCATATGAGATCCTACTTCTACACCTTTCGTATGCTTAATTCCTGTCACTTGACGATACCGCAGACTTCCAAACTTGTTCTACTGCCAGTTTTGGACAGGATGGAGGACAGGATCCTGGAAGCGGCCTGTACTGGAGCTTCTTACAGTACACCAAGCTTGCTGTAGATTCAGAGTCAGAAAGCAAGAGTCTTTCAGCATGATCAACAGCATTAATACCTGAGTCCAAGACTCTGAACTTCAGTTTATCTTGGATCTTAAGTACCACCACGGCATAGATTTTTAATGATGTCCATGACACTTTTGTAGTTAACAAAACTGGAGTCTTTGGACATGTTTCAGTGTTATTGGAGGACAAAACAGCTATCTACATTTAAAAAAGGGAAAGGGAGAAATTACGCAATGCTTTCAACTTAAGAGGTAACCTTCTACTCACTCCTTAAGCTCAGATGGTTTGACAATTAACACATCCATCTCCAAAGCTGGTTACCCTCTTGAGAAGCCAAATGCAAGGTTGCAGCATCCCTAGAAAGAAAGGGTCTAACTGCAATGCATTTCAACATAGTTCACTAAATGACATATTTTAGCAATGAGCAACGGAAAATAAAGTGATAGGAGTATCTGTTGTAAAGCCCAGCAAAGACTTCCATTTCTTTAAGACTGCTGCAAATTAAGCATTAATTCCAAATTCTCTGGCCAATATGGAAAAAAATTACTAAATTGTAAATTCTCACCAAAAATTTATCTTACTTGGTTCTATAAACCAAAACATTCCTGTACAGTCAATTTGACCTGAACAACTGTGGTGCCCTAATCCACATCACAACTAAACATCCCAAATGGTAGCTGACAATAGAGGTTAAATGTTTCTTGAAGTTCTTTGACAAGTGAAAGCTTTCATTGTGACAGATGTCAATTAATAAAAAAAAAAAAACCAACAAAGAGCTCAAAGACAAACCTCTTTTGGGTCAACAAAAGCCTCCAAGCTAGAGCTATGCACCACAACTTCTAGTAAGAAAACAGGCATGATCCCTACTACATTTCCTATCCGTTTCTCCCTGCCAAGCAAGCACTGTAACTACGTGAACAAGACGCACCTGCAAGTAGTTTTATACTCATTTGTAATTCCTTTTCAATGCTATAATAGAAGACTAGATATTCTGCAGTACCTAGAGATATATGCTGGTCAGGCAAAGCAGAATGTGTCCTCAGCATCCCAAAAGGTCAAAAGCTGCAGAATTCTGACAGGGTTTCTACAGCTGCCCATATTTGTACCCGAATGATGAACATTCATGACAACAAAGTGTGATTGCTCAGACAATTCTAAGAGGAATGGAAACAGGACAGGAAACATAAGATTGTATCTCATGAACTCAAAAACTCAGGAGCAAACATAGAAATGTTCTCAGCATTAGTTTTGTAAGATGCTCAAAACTCCTCTAATCCTTACTTTGTTCTATCCACCTCTTAGTCTCAATTAGGAAATAAAAACAAGGTCTAGAAAAAGTTTCAAAATCAATTTGCTCAAAACTTTGGGACTGTATCTTATTGGAGCTTCGCACAATCCCCGCATCTGGGCGAATTTTGATTCATTTATACTACTATAGCAAACTACCAAGATACCAAGTCCTCAGACCAATGAAGGATTTTGCTAAGACTGCTAGAAAGCAGATTTTGAGCCTACCACTTCAAGAAAGTATAGTAATCCCAGTGCTGTCACTAAACCTGTCATGAACACAAACGCTATTCTACCATTAGCCTCATTACCACAATGGCTAGCATCTTCTAACAGCACCTTAAGTTACTACATAGTGTCTGTTACAGACATCCCCCTGGGAAGACATGTGAGGGTGATCC